TTTTGTTTGAATGCCTAAGACTTCTGCACTGTACTCTACATCATGTAGATATAGCTCATATAGATGCACATTAGTTTAATCATGTTTGCTTCTTGTATCCCTATACTGTGGCCTTTGTGGTACTGCTTTTGGTTCCTATGATGAGACGTGGTATGATCCCTCTATCTTTGTCCTTGTCCCTTTGCCCGCCCTTCCTGTTCAGCGAGGAGGTGTGCATCCTGTCCGCGTCGGGCACCGCAGCGATCCTCAACCCCAAGTTCATGCAGGAGGGCTGCCTGGACAGCTACAGCGAACACAGGTTGTCATGGCACCCGGCCTTCCTTACAGCGAGGGCAGACAAGGCCGACTTTCATATTTTCCTTAACACCAAGGATTGCTCTTGCTCTGGTTTCATGGGTCACAAACTGACTTGCAGGATACAGACCTCCACCAAAACATTATTAAATTTGCATTGATCTCTCATTATATTTTCATAAATGATCAAAATAGGTGTGGCAGATTTTTTCAAATCAGATTATATAAATCCTGTTTTTAAACCATATTAGAGTGGCCCTGTTTTATTTTAAGTGATGCCAGGGGTGGCTGCATTCTCATCCTCTTTTGTAAGAAGAAAATTGTGAAAAAAATGAGTGAAACTGTGCCATATTTAAGGGTTGCAAAGACCACCTGAAGTCTTGATCATTACAAGTGATATTCGCTATGTAGAGACAATCAGGCACTCATGCATTTTTAGTCGAAATAATTTGTCACGGCAACCACGAGAAATGCATAAAATATGCAAAATAAATTAACAACAGAATGTCCAAAACATTAAAAAAAAAAATAACTTGCAGTTCAGTTTGCCCTGACAGATATCAGTTGACCTTGAGCACAGTCTTCATATCCCGACGGACCACAATTGCAGGCCCTGACAAAGACAGTGGCAATTATCAGTGAAGCCCAATGCATATTTAATGCAGTATTAGCAAATAATCTTGCCAGTATGTCATTCTTATTACATACTGTATGCTTATTACATCTGACAGTCCAGCCAAGACAGTTTTCTTGCTACCTTCAGGATACTGATGCCAATGTCCCTGCATGACTTGTAAGAGGAACTTCTGTTCCTCGTCTTTGGTCGACAGTTTGACGCCTCTTTCTGCAAACTGACTGTCAGGGTAGCAACAATTTCTTGGGCAGCTTTAGAATGCTGATCATCCTCCCATGTAGCAGGAGATGATGTCAGAATTTAATTATTAAATCCTAGAATCTCGACGAATTTCTTTCTGTTGCTGGTAACAAATGAGGAAAAGGATTTACTTGTGTTGATGAATTTTGCATCCAGTCTGAGAGAGGGTTCATCAGTTCCTTCATTTTCACTCTTCTTTGTTTATGTCCATTTTCTCTGCATCTATAGCAGAAAGGTCAAAGAATGTCAGGACAGTGTTTGCCAATCTGGTCATCAGGGACCTGCAGACAGTCCATGTTTCTGATACTGAGAGCTGGTAGGGAGCAAAAATATGGGCCAACTGTGGGTCCCCGAAGACCCGATTGGGAAACAAAAGCTCCTCTAGGTACCACCGATGATGACCAAATGCAAAGAGAGCAGCTTCACATGCAATGTTTTTGTAGCCTGATAGCAAACATGCTGCCAAAGAACTGCCGGAAAGAAACTTCAAATGGCCTTTGCAGCCTCTAAACCTTTGTCTAAACTACTTATTTTTCTCTCCATTTTTTTTTTCCTCATATAAGGTCACAAAAAGAGAGGTTCTCTGTTTTAATATTCTAACGTGTAATATTTGCCGTACACCTATGGACCAACCAATCCCAATATTTAAAACACTTCTAAGCGCTAATGCTTTATTTTGCTTCATCAATTTGAAATAAAATGTTTAAGTACTTATGAGTCATGTTGCTTCTCCATATACAATAAGGGACATGTGTGTGTGTGTGTGTGTGTGTGTGTATGTAGGGTTAATTTGAGTCACATGCAGTGCCTTGTACATGTTACATATTTACCTTGTAAGTATATACACTGATCCGCAGCACTGTTTTAATGTCCCTGCATTATCTGCTCAGCAGGTTGGAGGATCCGGCGCCCCCTAGCTGTGGCTTCTGTCACATTCCCTACGACGAGCTCAACATGCCCTTCCCAGCTCACCTCACGTACTGCTACAACTGTCGCCGGCAGAAGGTGCCGGATGTGCTCTTCACCACCATAGACCTGCCGGTGGAGGCGACGGTGATGGGCAAGGGCAGCCTCATCCAGGCCAGGTACGCTCCGGCCCACAAAGCCCCCCGTGACGTTCACCAGGTGTGAGGGCTTGGCTTGGTATTTAGGAACATTGCAGAGCTCTCATGAATATCACAGGAAGAGCACAGTTGAAAGTGCTTTGACCTTAACAGATTTCAGCATTTTCTGTTCCTTTTAATGAAAACCTTTGAAATTAAAGGTCAAACTGTTCATTTTGTACCGTGAGCTTTGTGTCCAAACAGTCTCGCTCTCCTCTATGAGTTGCCCATCTTACCTCAGACTTGCCCTCAGCTTGAAGCTGAATTAGAGCCCCCAGCTGCCTCATCATCCTGTCCCGTCCCTCACGGCAGGCTGTGCCGGCTGAAGAAGAAGGCCCAGGGAGAGGTGAACGCCACGGCCATCAGCAACCTGCTGCCCTTCATGGAGTATGAGCTGCACACCCAGCTGATGAACAAGCTGAAGCTGCGTAGCATGAACGCCCTGTTCGGGCTGCGCGTGCAGATCAGCGTGGGCGAGAACATGCTGGTGGGGCTGGCGGTGAGCAGGTCCTGGGGTCAGGGGTCAGGGGTCATGGGGATGGCACCACTTTCTGCATGTCGGAACATTTTTTTTTCCTTGCTCTTAACAGATTACTGCTTCTGCTATTTGTTGAAATGCGACAACTGTTTATCACAAGATGGAGGTTGTTTTATGTGTGTTAAAAGGAAAAAAAAAGTGATACTGGACATTTGAAAAGAGGATGGCATGGCGTGACCTGCCTCGCGTGCTCAGTCTGCCACAGGGGTATACCTGATGGCCCTGCCCGCTCCGGGGGGCATCCAGATCGCAGGAAAGACGCCCAGCGACATCACCTACGAGCAGCATATCTCCAACATGCAGAAGAAGATCAACGACACCATCTCCAAAAACAAGGACCTCTATGAGGTCCACCCGCAGGTGAGTGGCCATGCAGCTGGTAGACCTGGAGAGCGAGAGCTGTCGGTTTATGGCTCTGGATTGTGCCATTTGCCGGCGAGGCGCCAACAGTCCAGAATGCCCAATATTTATACACACAAGGCCATCCAAGGACAGCTACTTTAGCTGTGGGCTGACCTCACAGAATCGTCAGATGTCCACTCCATGTTGTGTTTCAGATGATGTAGGGTGAATTGTTTTTTTAATCTGAGGAGTTCCATTGTTTTTACAAGACCCCCCCCCAAGTTGTTGAATGGGACCCAGAGCCATTCAGAGGCACTAATATGCTACATTAAAGCATGAACATTCATTGTGTTCACAAAATTCATCACAAAGAAATACTTATGCATAACTCGGTGTATTTATGTTATCCTATTAAAGGCTAATGGGGTTAAACATTTCACTTTTGCTAATTTTGTGGCTGTGCTTCTTAGATATTCTATCAGAAACAGTTTAATTTAACTACCAATATCATATTTTACATCTTTTATGTAATTCTTTACTGGTCTTGGCTTTCTTACTGGATGCCTTTTAAAGGGTCACCCCAAAATAAATTCACTTTGTCAAATTGTTCATCGTGTCGAAGATTGCTGGCTCATGATGTCATCGTCCTCCTCTGTGCAAGTCTAGCTATGTTCCATGGCTGGGGAGTTGGGGATGTCTTGTTACACTGAAATGAAACTGAAAAAACGAACGTGACTTCTTCAGGAAGGTGTTTGGAGTGTTTATGAAATTACCGTCCGTGTAGCAACTTATTCAGTCTGATATCAATCTGAAGGAGTGCAGAGGTTTTATTCCAGCAAATCACAGCCCATAAAATATCTAGAAGGCCTCTTACTGCTTCCTGCATTTATTGGTTGCTCACATCAAAGACATGCATTGTTCCGGAACTGATAATCTGGTGGATTTGTAGTCATAAATATAGAATACATTAAACGGGCCACTCTTCACTGTATATACACATATACTGCAGTGGGAAAAATTAAGAGACCACACTATACTCCTAAGCAAATCTGCATATTTAAATCCTGGTTTAGTCATGGTTCTGCTGGCAGAAGGCTGCAGTGAGCAGCAGGTTGCTTCCAGGTTCAAAATTTCTAAGACAGCAGTACACATGAATAAGGTGAGGCAGAAGACACTGGGACCTGACCAGAAACCAGCCAGGTAGAGGGCAGAAGCGACTTTTTAATGCCAGAGATGACTGTCAACTTATCTGGCAGTGCCTCATAAATCGGAAAATGACCTCAAGTGACCTTCAAAAGGAATGAGAAGCATTGAGTGCTGTGAAGTGCACTGCTAGGACAGTTCGGGTCAGGCTCCTAGAAGCAGGACTGAAGACCCATAAAGCAAGGAAAAAGCCCTTTGTCAGTGAGAAACAGAGAAAAACCAAGCTGCAGTTTGCAAAAAAAAAAAATATATATATATATATTTGGGGTTGTGCTGATCAGGCCCATGTGTCCCTCACTAGCCACCATACCGAATAGCTATGAAAAGCACGATCTTACGGCAGCATTCCACAGGATGACTGCATCTGCATTTCAAGCTTCTGATCCTTGGCTGACAACTGGGAGAGGCATGTTTTCTGGGATTAGCCAGGTCCCCCATCCGAAAAAGCAAGCACAGAATGGATTATTGCCGCTGGCATTCACCTTCTTCTCTGTTTGGGTTGCCGGTAGGAGATCATCGAGGAGGTGATTGGGTCGCCTATTCCAGAGTCCCGGCAGCGTTCCCGACTTTTCCGGTCACACTCGGAAAGCTCGGATGAGGTGTCGGAGCTTGACTTGTCACACGGAAAGAAGGATGCCTTTGTCCTTGAAGTAAGTCCTTCTGTCGTCATCTTTGAAAGCGTTGGTGTCACACTGGCAGTGTGTCAATGCTATTCACTGAGGCACACAACCCGGCGGATCTCTCGTCCTTACAGATTGACGACACAGACGCCGTGGAGGACATCCACTCCCTCCTCACTGATGCGCCTATGCCATCAGGTACCAGCACCGTCGCCACCTTGAAGGTGCAGGGCATGGGGTCCCTGGATACAGCTCTCCAATCCGGCCAAGCGTTCAGCAGCAGCACAAGGCTCTGAAAGTCCAGCCCACCCACAACCAGCCTCAACATCCCAACTAAACACATTGCTGGCCTGATGCAGTCTAATTCCAGGAGACTGGACCATCCTCTAGTGGTTGGAGCAGTCTAAACCTTATGACTATTTCATGGTACCAACTAGTGAGTCACCAAGAACTAGTTAAGGACTTTAAATACCAAAGGCTCCACTGAATGGTCGTCTCGCCTTTGAGAGGTTATCTTTAAAAAGCTGTCAGCCATTGTGTTTCTCAGTCCAGTTCTCACACCTGAACCAAATAATCAAAAGCACCAAATACCTTGTGCAGATTTGTTTTGAGTTCCGAGGGAAGAAAAATGTGTGTCTCCAAAGACAGGGTTGAGAAACACTGGTATGAAGTTCACTGATCCAAAGATGAGTCTTCGGTAGAACTTCTTAAGTCATGTCACTTCATGCACTGCCAGCTGAAGAGGAGATTATCACATAATCAGGCTTTGCCCAGATCATCATGCTGCATGCATTTCACATTTACTGTGAGCGGTTAGTGTTCTCTCAATCCTTTGCTCACTTGCATACTCCCTGTCTTAGGCTTTTATAGCTGTAATACGGAGATTATGCCTGGGATTTACAACTGGACATCAAGTTTACAGGTAAAGACTTCCTGTTCTCCATAGTGCCTGGCAGGTATGAGCTTGGCACCCAAACCGATGTCAGTGATTGGCGTTTTTTCTCTGAGAATTGCCTTCAACCTCATTTTATTTCAGATGTTCACTTCGGTACGCGTATTCCGGCTCAACAACGTTAACCTGACCAACCAAGGACTTAACAAGATTTTTAATGACCTCTGTGAGAATCTGCTCAAGGTGAGACCCGTCCTAGGAACTTAGCCAACCGCCGAATGATATTATGACGTGGATCCTAAGGGGCGTGTGCTTCGAGCTCTGAAGGATGGTTGAGATGTGTGTGGGTTGGCTGTCATGAGGTGTGTGAATCCATAATGCACCAAGGAAGTGATGTGCTGAAAGAAAATATAAAAGGTTATTATTATTAATGTACTTGTTAACTGAAGCTTTCATGCACCATGATTTGCACTGTTTTGCTTTAGTGCTGGTGCTCAAGGGCGTCGTTTTCTCTTCCAGAGTCTGTACTTCAAGCTGCGCTCCATGGTTCCCTGCTGCCTTTGCCATTTGAACTTCGCTGTGGCCGTACCAGAGGAGGAGCTCATTCAGGTGAGCCTGCAGCAGAACGCAGCCAGCCCAGGCTCTGCTCCCGGACCACTTTCTGTTTGGATTTTTTGCATCGCAGGGCACCCAGAGGAGCTCAAAGCCTTGACTTAGTATGAGTTAATTTTGTAGACCTAAAATCTGAACTTCAAAAGCATTCAAATGTGTGGGCAGGTTTGCATATACTGGAAGTTCATGCAAAGGTATCTAACTACAGTTTCTGAGGGTTTATTGACAAGTAATTTTTCTTGCCCTATAAAGCAAAAATTCCTTGTCAGGGTATGGAACTTCCAGCGTTTAATGGTGTTGGCCAATTCTTGTTTAGCTGATGGGAAAATTCAGTATGCATCTCTGGCATGTAGTTCATTCAGAAGGTATGGGCCACAGCCTGTTTTCAGGAGAGACTCCGTAAGCAGTTCACATTGTCTCCACCAGGTGGCCGTCACTGCTGTTGCCATGACTTTTGACAAGGAGCAGGCTCAAGAAAACTTCAAAGCAAATATGGAGAAGGCAATCATGAAAGGTGGCTCTTTTTTTGTCGAATAAAGTCATTTTGGTTTTGTTTACTGGAGATTAGCATTTAGCATCCAGTTAGTTTCGTGATGAGTATTAATAGCAGGATATATCTAGTTGTGCTCGGTGGGAGCAGGCTAGATCGCTGAAAGCTTCCTCCCTGTGCTTGGGGGATAAAGGATTGATTGTCTCCCAAATCCTTCCCAGCCTTATGTTTCTCTCTCTCTCTCTCTCTCTCTCTCTCATTTTGAAGTGATATCAGAGAATGAGGAACAGCTTCAGTTCCCACTGGAGCTGTGCACAGAGACTCCAGCTCCACAGCCCTTCTCCCCCAGCAAAGGCACAGGTACTGTGGGCTGACTGTACTGTGGGGGGGGGGGGTGTAGCTAGTGATATCCGTTCTTATATTCCATTGGCTTTCACTCCTGTTTCTGGCAGCCGGTTTTGCTTTCCTGCTCTTTCTGTGCATAGATGGAATGTGAAGTTCGGCTTTGCGAATAATGAGTGTAGTCAAGTGCCGAAGTGCTCTAGATGAGAACATGCCAGGACCAGGAGTGAAGACCTTAGCTCTGTCCTGTCCCACCAGCCTGGACCTCCATGCCTGTCAGTGTCTAGAGAGTGGCAGGCTCGCACGCGGTCTGTGAGCCGCAACGACTGACACTTACACTAGACGTGGCGGGTTTTTTTGTCACACGGTCTTGGGTATTAGCAGAAGCACATTCAGACACGTCATGTTGGACTTCACTGCCACCATGTAGAGTAACAGCATACGGTGGTCTCCAAGACCACGGTGCTACACAAATACATGAAGTGCAGTGATAGACACAACAAGCTAAAAAGAAAAAGAAAAAATCAAGGTATGTCAACATTAACACACAATTTAAATGTAAACAGTGCTGGCATGCTGGGGGTAAGATGGCCGCCCTAGGTTAGTTTTGGAGACGCCTTGACCCTCCCTCCCCTCCTGTCCACAGGGCACCAAGATGGCGGCGGCATCCACACCTCTGCCAGAGGTAAGGCCCCCCCCGCCTGCCCATGTGTCCATTAGCACTACAACCAGGACATTCTTTTTAAATTCTTTTTTTCTTTTGTCTCTCAGACAGATAGTGCTTTCCTGACGAAGCGATTTGACGCAAATAGCCAATGTCATCCATGTTATTTTTTCCTTTTTTTATTTTTTCTTCTTTCTTTTTGTCTGTCTGTGTACTTTCAGCCACCTCAGTTGATTACAGTTCCTTTGCAGACAGATGCAGCACCTGGATAGAGCTCATTAAACTGAAAGCTCAGGCCATAAGACGTGGATCAATTAAGACAAGTAGGAGAACACTGTTTCTAGCACACTCTGGTGACAATCCCAGCGGTACCATGTAATCTACCTCTGCCATGACGGTGGTGGGCGGAGCCTTGCTGCCCCAGAAATGGCATTACCGATCAAGCACAGCTGATTGACAGAGTGTGAAAGCTGAGGACACGCCCCCCCTATGCGGGCTTGTCCTGCTTCTGGTTAGACGTATTTGGGCTCGGCTGCCATTTAGCCTGCAGTCACCGCTCATCAAGAATATTATTTTCAATTTTGTCTGTGCACAGTTTAAAGATTTTAGTTGATTTTGGTGAATTTGGAAACACGAGCCAGCACCGCACGATTTAGATTCTCTGTAGGCTTTCCTGATTGGCTAGCTGGTGGCTTGAAAAGCATCAAAGCTATAAACCGTAAGGTTACATTTTAAGAAATGTAACATCTTTCACACTCTCGCTCCTCCAAAACAGCAGAACTCCCTCAGCAGACGACTTGTTTTGTGTTTCCTTTGTCTTCTTCTCTGATCATTGCTAAGGCATAGCCGTCTGATTACCCTCCTGTTCGTTTGGTTTTGTTCGTGCCGCCCCCCCGCCCCCATCTGTTCGTTCCTTTCCATTCATGTACTGCATGCTATGCATGAGTACTGTTTCCTCCATGGCAGGCCATGCTAAGCTACATCGTTGAGGCTTCAGATGGTTTCTGAATGCTGTCACCCAGCCATTTCACCACACCGAAGCAGATGGCGCTCTCCCTCCGCCTCTCTCTCTCTTTCTAAACATGCTTCCATGGCTCTTGACTAACATCTGATCATCGTTCCCATGACACCCTCTGAAGGCTGTGTGTCTGCTCCTTGTGTGCCCCCCCCCCAACTCCCTCACCCCCCCAGCAGCCTCCCAGGAGAAAGGCAGCCCACTACCAGAGGGGCGTTCACGGTCCCTACGCTGTATGCGCCCATTCCCCAGCAGCACGGTCTCTGTGGTCAAAATGACCCCGCTTTCCTTCCTCCCGGGCACTCGAATCATCAAGTACCTGGGCATCATCAACATGTTCTTCATCCGGGAAACCACGTCACTGCGGGAGGTGAGGGCCACGTCCAAGGGAGCTCCCCCCCGCCCCCCCCCATACCAGCAGGAACACCCAGACCTGTCCTGCTGAAATACACCTCTCCCTTTACGGTGGAATTAATCTGCTCACATTGGTCAATATTCTCAAGATCTCAACACAGATTCAACGCTTGAACATTTCAGTGCTCTGCCTGTGGCAACGAATTTGAAGCTCTTTTAAATGATGGTGAAGAGGCGTGTTTAAAAGTCATTTGATTGCTATGCTCGCGGCCTGTCTTGAATAAACAAGTCTCTGATGTATTCTCAGTTGATAAGCTTTAATGTGTGAGTGTTTCTTTTCATAACTTGGTTAAAGCTTTTTGTTGACTCTTTCATTTAATCGAAATTGTAAACGTGATTTACATTTAATCTGCGTGAACTGCTTGGTGCATTAGAATTACATTTGTAAAATGTTTGTTTTTGATAGCATTGTTTAGTGCTGCGGCGCATTAAGTTTTTTAGCCTGGAGAGATTCAGTGTGAGTGTTTGCGTGTCTCTGTCTGTCCACCACAGGAAGGGGGGGTCAGTGGCTTCCTGCACTGTTTCATCGCTGAGGTGTTTGCCATGGTGCGGGCTCATGTAGCGGCCCTGGGGGGGAATGCCGTGGTGTCCTACAGCATGAAGGAGTGCGTCTTCATGGAGAACCCCAACAAGAACCAGGTGGGCCTCAGGCATATCTGACCGCCTACCTCACTGCCTGGCTACCTCCCTGTGCTTACACTGCGTTCCTCTGCCCCCAGGCTCAGTGCCTCCCTGTGCTTACACTGCGTTCCTCTGCCCCCAGGCTCAGTGCCTCCCTGTGCTTACACTGCGTTCCTCTGCCCCCAGGCTCAGTGCCTTATCAACGTGAGCGGCGACGCTGTCATCTTTGTGCGGGAGTCGGAGGCGGAGGCCACAGCTGCTGCTCCTCAGACATCTAGCATGCAGAATTTGAGCGGCGCTGCTGAAGCCAATGCCTAGAGAGAACACACACATACGCGCACAAGCGCTATCCAAGCCAACTCTGGACTGGTGGCTGTCTTTGACCTTCAGGACAAGTGCTCAAAGGGCAATGCCTCTCCATAATCACCATTAATTTAATACTGAGGGAAAAAAGGACCACAGAGTCTGTGACACTGAGCTGGCCAGGTGGATTCTGTGAAAGCTGTGTGGAAATTCAATTTATTTATTGATTTTTTTTAATTAAATCAGGATCATACCGGGTGTCCAAATGTTTGTGTCTCGTGGTCTGGGCTTCCACAGGTCAGAGACCTCAATAAATTGTCCACGCTTTCGTAGAATTCCCATCCGGCCGCTGAGTGCCGTGTCGGGCACCTGAGAGGACGCCCGTGCCAAGTCCGTAAGCGGCCCCCATAGACGTTCCATGCCTTTACGCAAAGCAGAGGCAGCTGTATGTCATTTTCCGGGATGAAGGCCTCCCCAACGTAGCTATTAGGGATGCGTGGTCAGAGAGGTGCGGTGGGTACTCTGTGCCACTTGCACTCGACTCTTTTATATATATATTTTCAGTGCACTTTTTAAAGTAGGATCTCTTGAAGACATGAAGTGTTTTTTCTTCTGTCAAACATCCTTGCTTGAGAAGCTCATACTAAATAAATGTAATGAAACTCGTGTCGCAAAGTGCACTGCTGTTCTCATGGTTAAGGCGGCCGCAGAATTTTATTTCATTTTTAGTTGTGTACTACTGAATTTTTGATATTTTTTTAATTCTGTCTAATGCTGGAAAATGCAGTCTTTTTTTAGTATAGGTGCCACAAGCAACCTTTTTATTTGTGTAAATGTGTATTAAATCAGATGGGTATTTTTGTAAAAAAAAAAAAGGAAAATAATAAAGTGAGCGATTAGTAAATTGTGTTTAGTTGCATGAGCCATTTGAACCGTTGGGAGTAAGTCTGTAGCCTGTAATCCTAGTGAATAGTGCAGAACAGGCAGGTTCAATCAGTGTAAGACTTGAATGTACAGAAGGGGGCGCTGTTGCTTTCTTCTAATTAGCAACACGGTAGCCTTTTCAATGGACATGTTCCCTGTTATTTGGCCCAGTCGTTCTTAATCTTGCACAATAAAGTTCTATTTAAAAGGTGACAGAGTCCTGCAGCGGTTATGCTTCCTCCATTAAGTGAAAATTGCGGTTTGAAGTGTCTGAGTGACTGTATTCATCTTTAAAAGGTGTGGGTTTGTCCCTTTTCAGTTGAGTCTGGGTTATTCGGCTCGCTGTGGGATTTTTCCATTCCCATCCACCAAATGAATTGAGGTTGTCACACTCACTAAATGATCGACCACATGTAGGACAGTCTGTGAGGCGAAGTGGTGCCAAGAACTACATTTAAAGGATTGGCCATATCAAAATGTATTCGATGTATAAATATTGCCTAGGAAAACAATATAATTAATGGTAACTTCTTTTAACAGTTGCCACCAGTTATGGGAGGGGATGTGGCTTTAAAAATCCCATAATGTTTGGGCATGCTGCCTCCTTAAATCCAAATGGAACAAAGATGGTACCCAGCGGTAAACTGGTAGTGTGGCCCTTCCTTTGGCAGCCTCCCAGTCTGTGCTATCACATCTAAGATGTTCCCTGGAGCGGGATGAGCATTAATGTTAGACACATGGACAGATCTACCGGTCTGCGATCTGAACTCCCAATGAGTAGAAGTCCGGCAGCCTCAGTTTCAGTCACTGATTCCTTTGAGAAAAATTCCAAGTGTGTTAATGCCAGTTTAAAAGCAATTGATACTCTTCATCCGACAGATAAATATGGCAATGTAATGAAGGGATAATAGTTTAGGAGCACAATTACCTTTTACATCAGCGTGAATACTTAAGTAGCTCAATTAGGTTTACTTAGCTGGCTTTTAAGGAGCTCTGAATAAGCTTCTGGTGAGTTCATTTTTGTGTTTTTTTTTTGTTTTTTTTGGTTCCCTTACAATACCTGCATCAAATTGTTAAATGACTTTCAAAGTGATGGGGCTCACCCTAAGTATTCTTTTTAAAAATTTATAGATGGTACAAATAAGAGTTTAGCCTTTTACCCGGGGTTGACGACATGTTTGTGACAAGACTGGCGAAATGTTATGATTGAGAAAAAAACTATGTAAACTATGAAATTCCCTGGGGAGGGGGAGTATTTATGTAGTTGTGGGAACTACTAAAATTTGCAAAGTACATTTGGGAAAACTTCTCCGTTCCATAAATAGTGTCACTCAGCCAATTAAATGAGGGGGGTGCGGTATGCAGAGGACGTATCCACTGCTGTGATACAGTACACAGTCCAGCGACATAATCCAGAGGCCCGTGCCTTGCACGGAAGCATGTGGGATACATCTGCTCTAAACTGTGACACTTCCATTGATCACTGTCTTAATCTTGAAGTAGATCACAGGGAGTCACTGAGAAACTAATCGGTGGAAACCATGTGACACGTCCAGGCCTACAGATCCCTAACCCAGGCCAAATAGGTCACTGAATCCACATCGACTCATCTGTCAGCCAATAAAGATGAGCTCAGTGCGGAGATCACTACATCAAGAGCGGATGCGAGTCTGTCAAAGATAAAGATTTACTTGCAAAATGATTGGACATTTATAATGGAATAGAATAGAATAGAATAGAATAGCCACTTTTATTGTCATTCAGAAATACACTGGTTAGTGCACATCAGAACGAAATTTCGTTGCATTTTATGCTTACAGAAATAAGTGGAAATAACATATTAACCACAGTATAGCAGCAAAAAACAGTGTGCATCACCGTATCGGTTTAGTGCAAGACATATAGTGCATAAAGTTCTTGAAAAAGTGACATGTGCATGGATGGAGAGAGGGGGAGTGTGGGGAGGGGGTTGGGGAGGGGCTGTCATGAGTTAAGAGTTCAGGAGTCTAATGGCTTGAGGAATGAAACTGTTACAGAATCTGACTGTCCTGGTCCTGACCCTGCAAAGCCTCTTCCCAGAAGGCAGCAGGGAGAACAGACCTGGGTGGGGGCGGGCAGAGTCCCTGATGATGTCACGGGCTCTGCTGAGACAGTGTTTGAGTGCAATGTCCTGGATGGATGGAAGAGAAGTCCCGATGATCCTCTGCAATCCTCACCACTCTCTGCAGCGTCTGAGGATTTTGAGCTGCCAAACCAGATGGAGATACAGCTGGTCAGCACGCTCTCTATGGTGCCTCGGTAGAAGGTGGTGAGGATGAGAGAGGAAAGGTGTGCTCTCTTCATCCTGCGCAGGAAATGCAGCTGCTGCTGAGCCCGTTTTACTGTACCAGTGCAGTTGTGTTTGGTGACCAGTCCAGTTTTCCAGTTATCTGCACCCCCAGGAATTTGATGCTGCTGACCACCTCATTGTTGTCAATGACAGGTGGTGAATGACTGGGCTGTTTCCTCCTGAAGTCGATGATCATCTCCTTGGTCTTCTCGACATTCAGGATCGGGTTGTTATCCCTGCACCATCCCACCAGTCGCTTCACCTCCTCTCTATAGGGCAGGTCGTTGTCGTTCCTAATGAGACCCACCACTGTTGTGTCATCCGCGTATTTTATGATGTGATTCGAGGCAGATGCAGCACAGCAGTCGTGAGTCAGCAACGTGAACAACAAAGGACTGAGGACACAGTCCTGAGGGGAACCGATGGAGAGAGAGATGGAGCTGGAGATGTTGTTACCCAGTCTCACTGACTGTGGCCTGGCAGTGAGGAAGTCCAGCAGCCAGTTGCACATGGGTGTGCTGATACCCAGCGGGCCCAGTTTGCTCACCAGCTGCTGGGGGATGATTATTTATCGTATTGAACGCTGAACTAAAATCAACAAACAGCATTCATACATGAGTGTTCTTGTCCTCCAAATGTGCAAGGCTCAGGTGAAGAGAAGAGAAAATGGCGTCTTCTCTGGAGCGGTTTGGCCGTTAAGCAAACTGAAATGGGTCAAATATAGGGTGCAGTGTAGAGATGATGTGTCTTTAACCAGCCTCTCGAAGCACTTCATCATTATGGGAGTAAGTGCAACAGGACGGTAGTCATTAAGACATGTGATGGTGGATTTTTTGGGCACTGGTATAATAGTAGCAGACTTGAAACATGATGGAACAACAGCCTGCACCAGTGAGGTATTGAAGATGTCCGTAAGGACGTGTGCCAGCTGGTCAGCACACTCCCTGAGTACTCATCCTGGAATGTCGTCTGGGCCTGCTGCCTACCGTGTGTTCACCTTCCTCAGGGTTTTCTGGACATCAGCCACGTTGAGGCTCAGTGTTTTTTCATCAGGGTGAGGATTAGCTTTGATTGCAGGGGTGTTGTCATTTCTTGCAAATCTACCGAAAAAAACTGTTGAGTTTATTTAGCAGATGTGGGTTGTTGTCACACAGTGGAGGAGCAGCCTTGTAATCTGTTATCGCCTGAATCCCCTGCCACATCCGCCAGTGCATTCAGGTGATAACAGATTACAAGGCTGCTCCTTTTGATTTATTAAAGTTGGTAGTTAGTAGTAAATCACCAGTTGACATCAGCTGTGGTATAATGTAATATTTAGGATATAAAGTGCACATTCTTCAGAGAGAGCATATGCTCTATATATAGACTAGGCTACTCTGCAGGGAAGCCTCATGCACCATCAGCTTCCAGAAACTTACGGTTTTGGCTCCTGAACTTTATCAGCGGTCCCAGCATCACGTCACAATCACAAATTTCCAGTCACGGTCAGTACCGGAGAAATGCCCAGCTGAGGGCAGCAGACGTCCGCGGACGCCCCGCTCTGGGGCAGTAGCAGGGCATGCATGCAGAGAAGAGAAGCGGCGCTTTGTTCCCGTCGGAAGCCCGCTGCGGATCTGCCCGTCGGAGAGAGAGAGGGGGGCAGCGAGAGAAGGGGAGAGAGCGCAAGGGCGACTGGATAACGGCGCGGGGCTGGGTTTTTAAGGGATGTGCAGACGCTGACGACGGGCAATGAGGATCAGGGTTGTCCTTCTCAAGGGGGCTGCGGAGGATTTTTGTATATACATATAACTGGGGATGCAGCATAACAAGACGCAGTATCTTGCCACCGTAGATCAAAATGCATCCCCCTTTGCTTTAGCGGTCACAAAGATTGCTTGATGATGGCGTATTTTTGCTCAGCCAACTAAAATCCTGTGCATTTCATCAAAACGGGAGTGGGCTCTGCTGAAAACCAAGGATTTTGTCCGTGTCGACGAAAATAATTCCTGGACTCAAATTCCGATTCCCATTTTTTTACATGGAAAACAAAAAAATCAAATCGCTCCAAAATTAAACAGCCGATGTGGACTTTGCCATTTTTGAAGACTACCTTCACCGATACATATTTCAATGACTTTGAATGCTTAATTAAATAATATCAACCTCTTCGGTAATGATGTTTGTGAGATGGCATAGGAGCAAGTTGTCTGTATCTGTGGCACTGTGTGTCATCGTGCTGTGCTGGATGTACAAATACCCGGTGTACAGGTTCCCGAGCGATAAGGAGATTGTAAATAAAGTCTTACAGCAGGGACAAACATGGAAGAAAAACGAAACAAGCATCCATTTATTCAGGTATATTTCCTACCGTTAAAAAGTCCGTCTCGCTGGAAAAAGAAGTTATGCGACAACAGTACGATGTCCGGGATGTATCTTGGTTGTATTACATTTACGAATTGCGTCATTTTAAATGGCATTTACTTTTGTTCTTGTTTTGTACATTTGGTGACAGAGTAATTACTGCAATCAGTGATGAGCATTTTATCCGGCGATGACAGCATATTACGCCGCACCTTCCTCATCGGCCTGGTTACTTTTTATACGGGCTGTAGTACATTTTTTTTTAGTAGTAATTACATCACAACAAAATGTTACAGTTTTGTGTTTTACAATACTTACATTTAACATCTAGCGCTGTTGAAAAGTTTAAATGCTTGTTCAGAATAAGTGGTTACAGAAGTCATATTTGTTTATCCGTAAATTTCAGTAAAACCGTGTCTCGGTGGCTTAGAATATAATTACAATAGCAAAAACCTAAAATTACAATTTTATTTCTAAATAATAAACCATGAAACGATAGGTACATGAAATTAATTTTCCGTGATGCGACATTTGACCGCTAAACGATTGTGTTTCACACAATTACACTGTGTATATTAATGGTACGACATACGACCATAAATATATCTAGTCAACCTTAAAAGTGAGACAATTTTTACTATATTAGTGGTTTTGGGGACACGAACTGGGTCCTTTGTGACTTTTCTGAGTTGTTACAACCGTGGCATAAGTCAACTTTATTCATAAAATAACAATAGTACTCACTGTCGTGTGACCATGTGTTTGTTATGTTATTTTTCAATAGGCCTAAGAAAAATACCCCCTTTTCAGCAGCGTTTCTATCGACTGTTAACCTCAGGGCTTCCCTGAAATTGTCCAGGCAAACCACATACTTTTCTATTCATTTTCTTGTCATTTGCAATTTTTATCAGTTGTAACATTAGGGCTTGGAGTACGTATTGTGTTTGTGACTCTTCTTAAGGACATGCAACTGATGATGAGTAAGTGCATCCAGAGGCGTTTCTAGGGACTCTGGGAGCCCTTGGCAAAAAACTCCATGGGGCTCTCCAACTCCCCCTCCCCCAACATGATAAAATTAATTACCTTTATTTTACTGTGAAATGTAAATTTATAATATCAACAAAGAGAATTTAATAAACACAAGACCTTTATTTTCACTTTTGTGAAAAATAGATTACACAAATAAAGCAGATTTGTCATTGCAATGTACTATGTAATGGGCCACCCTTGGGAGCCCCCCCTCCTAGCTCAGGGCTGCAGGCCATTGCCCCCCCCCCCTCGTCCGTCCTTTTGCTGCCTCTCTGAGGGCATCAGTCAGTCAAGGCTGGTGAAGCACATCCATTATCACGACCAAACTTTGCTGTAACTTGGGTTACTGTAGCTATTGTTCAGATTTGCTCTCAGACACAGATTTTATGCTTTTTTTTTTTTTTTTTACTAAAATTTGCTAGTTAAAAGAACTTGACACAACCTTTAATTGCAGTTGGATTGTTTGTAGGCTGTGCTCTCTAAAGCTTAACTTACCAGCTCTCTGACAAGTAATTTTATAACAAATGTTTTGCACATAATATTACTTTAGAATTGCTACAATACTGCTAGCCAGCAACCCCTGGCAGGCTTTGGACAGGCTCTTCGGAGAGGCAAATATTTAGGCCTTTGGTAGGAAACAAATAAAGCTGTTTGTGAGCCCTGATTTCCTGAGTGGTTTAAAATGTGCATTTTCCATGTGCAATTTGATGAGTGGATAGATGCATTTTTTTTTTCTTCCAGAAAACAAGGCTGTCTCTTCATATGCAGATGCTCTTCATGTTTTGACCTTTGACCTGTTTTCTTCTCATTGGTTTGTTTTTGAGTGTTCTCTTTTTATATACATTTATTTTTATACAGTTGGTTTCTTTTGGGCAGTACTGTAATTCTGATGTCCTTTTGAACCATCAACTTGTGATTTGTAAATGAAAATTGTACTAAAACAGTCTGTGAACAGGTTTTGGGTGAATTTCTTTTCTCGAGATTGTTGAACCTTTGAAATACACTGAGGGTGCCATTCTTTATACTGAGACTTGTTTAGTGAACGTCACTAAAACGTGAAGGTAGTGTATGTCTAGGGAGCTGGCATAGATTATTGTTGCAGTATGCAAATATGGCAAAAAAATTGTTGCTTAATCATTACCAATTTTGTTTATTTTATTATGTCATGGGTTAAGAAAGAGATGCATTTGCATGTAACACTGCCCAGGCACATAATTTGTGTATCTGTCCCCGTGAGTAGTTTATAATGGTCAGTCATTCTGGTGGCTCAGCAGCCATTGATTTTTATTTACATTCTTTCAATTTCTCCACAGAGAGCTGCTGAAAGAATGCTGTGACCCCCGGAACATGTTTGCCGTGACTAAGGAGAACACTGGCCTGGGGACGGTGCTGTGGTACGATGGAGAGCTATTCTACTGGCATACAGTGAATAATGACACCTATTCCCTTTTTGTACAAGTAAGAAAGAATCTGTATCCATTCTGATATCAATGGTATCAATGACATCAATCCGAAATCAATTTGGTAACGCTTTTCATTAACTGCACCTTCATGATACCTTTATAATACATTCAGTGCACCTTAATAATGCATTTGTAAAACATTCATAAGCAGCACGTAACTATACCTTAACATCCCAACATACATTAACAACTTTAATACATACACATAATACATTAATATACATTAATAACGCACATTAATAGCACTGTAGACTCACTCCTACAAGGTTCTGGGTTGAATTTGAATTAAGCAGAACTGTCATATGTAGTAAATATTTATGAGTCAGATTAAATTCCTGTTTTACACCCAAATGGAGCAGCACTCATATTAGTGAAATAACACAGTTCCTGTTGCACAGAGTAATTCTTGTACCTTACCTTTGCCGGTTATAAATCTTACAAAAATAATGTTGATGCCACGCTGGTCTTGAAATAACAAGTTTATAAATTGCACTTTTATTTTAAGGAAGACATTAAGTTCCTTTCACTTTTAAACAGCTTACTGCTGAGTGGATTACGCACAAAAGCTAGCTCACCCTGTCGTTTCCAGGTGTCAGCGGCTAGAGGTTTGCATGCCGACATTGACCACTTCTCCCATCATAAATTTCCCAGTTTAACATTTTCTTTTTCCAGCTGGTAGTTTTGTGCCATGCGGGGCCTAATAAAGTTATTTGTCATGTAGCCCATTCAAAATTCACGGAGCAAGTCTCAGAGCTAATTTGGGAAATGGACTTATAGTGAAACAATCCTGAATCTGTTAATTTATCATCCGCACCGAAGCTTATTTTGCACTTCAGTGCTTTGTAGGTTTCGTTCTGTTTTGGGTTTTGTGTCAAATTTAGCTATTTAATATTCGTCTAGTTTTCTCTGTAACATACTGTATAATTAGAATTTGCTGTCATGTAGATATTTAATACACCTTGAAATGGACTGGCATTCACTTTAGGGTATCCCCTGTCTCCTGACCTTGTGCTGCATCTGTATTTATGGAAGATGGGCATTAGATATGAATACCTAACTAGTTAAGTGCTAAAAACATCACCGAGGGTCGACTCATTTAGACAGTGGGATGCTGGACTCGCTTGCACATTCCATAAATAAAGAGATAAAAAGTCATCCTGCCTACAGTGTAGCTCCAGCATGGCCGCCTGTGAAGGAGAGAAACGTGACAATGTGAACAGCATGTGTCGTCTGCTGCTTCCTGTCCATTGATCGTCAGCCCTGTGAATTGCAACAGAAGGAGCCTTACGGGAATTAGGAAGCCACTGCAGTGGGCAGAAATAAAGCAGAAGGTAGAGACACACAGCAAACTTGGAGTCTGTCCATCTGCCACATTTAGACTGATCTGACATCCACTGACAGCAGGCCGGTGACATTATGGGAAATGGGGGTTATGGGGTGTTACTGGAGAGTTCACTGGGTGGCTAGCTCCGATCACATGGGCATACCGGTTGTGTGTAGAGTACCTCCACCAGCTTAATATGCTGCTTGGGGGGTGTGTGATTGTCCTTGGTAGTGACAGCAAAATAATAGAGACACATGGGCCTTTGTTTGGGGTCTGAAAATCAGAGGGGAACCAGCCATGGAACCACAGGGCTGACTTTGGAACTCAAGAATGTGTAATAAGTTCTGGTTTGGTGGCCTACATGTGTTGGATATTCCTATGGGCGGGAGGGAACATGAGAGTGTATAATGTGTATGAGTGACTGCAGGATTAAATGAACTGGTCACCTGACTTTGCTCCGCCCCCAGATGTCCCTGCTCCACCCCTCTCTTTAAACTAGGAAGTTTGCATGTTACCTGCTTCTTCACGTTGCCATTGTTCTGCAAAGCTGACAGTCTTGTGGAAATCTACTCGCAGACCTGACGGGGGCAGACGACACCCCACAACAACATGCAAACTCCACACATAAGCCAGGGTGGAGACTCAGCCCCCAGTCTTACAAGTGTGAGGCAACAGTACTAACACTGTACCACCATGCCATGGTTAGCTCAGTATATTTACTTTGCTATGTAGTGATGTCAGGATCCTCCCCACCCCAGGACAACTTGGCCTGTTTCCTTAACCACCCTGCCACCTACAACATGGCTTCAGACTGTGGCTGGGATATAATACCCAGGAGTAGGTGGCCTGGCCGATTGGTCCGGTGATGCTGGGCTGTGCTTAATGGTGCTTAATGGTCTATTAAATGGTGCGAGCGTCCAGTGCAATGGCAACCTCACCACAAAGTGTAAGTTTAAGAAATATGTTACCTGACCCACACAATGAATCACTTATTGCACAGGAACATCCCTTGTTGTCTTGAGTTGCCTGGTGACCTTCTGGGTTGCGTGAGTTGGTCCAGCAGCTCCAAGTTAAAATATCACCAGCCACGTCTGTGAGGTCTATACCTCCACAGCTGGAGTTAACTGATCCAAAGCCGCGCAGTTGTCACTAACGATTCATCCGGGCGCATGCAGAGACACGTTTAGCAGCACGTGCGCGTGCACTCTTGTGTTGCTAGGAGACGCCGTTGCAGCTCCCGCTGAAGAAGTGCTCCGTCGTTGGCAACGGCGGGGTCCTGAAGAGGAGCGGCTGTGGCAAGGATATCGACCAGGCCGACTTCATCATGAGGTCAGACAGATATGCCCGTCACCAGCCAACCCGATCTCACGAATTTTCTCACGAATTTCCCTCCATACACTAACTCATTCATGCAACAGAAGTAAAATCCAAGCGCTGTTTTGCAAGGTCGCGTCACACGTTATCGAAAGCGTTATCAGATCACGAAAAACACAATAGGATTCTGGGGATGCATGACTTTCCCGTCCCTTAGTCACCAGTTAGCGCTCATAGTGGCGGTGTTAGGCACTGCCCATTAAAACACATAGGGAGGGGAAACATTGCCCCAGCACGTAAAAAAAGCCGAAAACGTGATTACAGCACGGTTAAATAGATTTTATGTCGTGATGGCTGCACGAAAATTCGTGAGATCGGGTTGCACCAGCGCTGGGTCTGATCCACTAGCAGATTAATTCCTCTATATCCTGAAAAATAATAATAATGAAACCAATTTAGCATTTAACCTTTGAACTGAAACACTTTTCATATCTCTTTCTTGTTTTTAAAGCTGGGAATATAGTAGAAAATTAGTCTAGACTTTATTCTAGTTTATTGTGCTTAGGATGTCCAGGAATAAGAGAACTAAATTGGAATTTTCTCTACAAGGATTGCAAAAAATTGTGAGCGCATTTGCTGGGAGTAAATTGTGAAGCAGTATACTTAATTAACTGGCCACTGAGTGTATAATACAGCTGCTTGCTAATGCGCCCTGCTTCGCCAAAGAGTTAATAATATGGCCGCAACTGAATATATACAGCATGAAGCTGTCTTCATGCTGTATATATTCAGTTGCGGTTCATTTACAGCTTGACTTGGCAGTAGAAAGGCTATGATGAGACATTGTGGCTCCAGCACATCAGAAGCAGCCACACTATTGTTATGTTTATCCATTGCATATTTGACAAAGTATGGTGGTTGGAGGAGAATGGCCAGACCTGTGAAAGCTCACAGGAAAGCCACAATTACAAAAAAATAGCTCAGTACAACTGTGATATGCAGAATAGCATTTCTGAGAATGACAGAACGGTTTATCGGTTTTCTACAGTTGCCCTTTCTGTGCTGTTTGTCTGTAGGTGTAACCTTCCTCCGCTGTCTAAGGACTACACAGCAGACGTGGGGACCAGGACACACTTGGTGACAGCAAACCCCAGCATCATTGAGAAAAGGTGCGTGTTCCTCCTGTCGCCGCCCAGGAACATGGAGCTGCAGCTGGTGTGCAGTGCTTTGTTTCAAGGCCTGGCTTCGCCCGTGTGGAAATAAAGTGCAATATAAATTTATTTAACAGATGATAGTATCCAAAACAACTAAACACTTTTTGAGAAAGCAGGGTCGGACAGTCCTTTGAGCAGATGGGTGTTAAGGGCCTTGCTCAAGGACCCAACAGTAAAATCACCCTAACAAACTTGGGATATGAACCAGCAACCTTCTGATCACGGGTACACCCTCCTAAGCTGCTGCGCCACACTCCACCCCCCGCAGGCCGTCTTTGACATCACAGGGAGGATTTGCATTGGGGTGATAGTGCAGAATAAGGAGTTCCGGCTCCATCTAAATGGCATCAGCAACTTAGACTCACAAAGTGTAACAAGAGAAAGGAACTGAAAGAGAATCCTGCTCAGTGTTAGTGTAGATTTATAATAGCACAGCAGTTCTTCATATTTAATAGAATATACATATGCTTTTGGTATCTGGGTTCACTTTTCACGGGAAAATGAGAGTACAGTGATCCCCAGCCTATTGCGGAAGTTATGTTCCAGACTCATCAGTGATAGGTGAAAATCTGTGATATAGAAAGACCATATAAATTAACCTTTGTTTTATAGTTTAAACCTTAAAATATTGACATCCTATGGAAATCACATTGTTTTCTTTACAATGTTATTAGGAAAGGAATAGATTCCTATTGCATTGTGTGCTAGGTTCCTAGTTTGCAAAGTCAGGGGAAAGGGCAGCTCTGTCAGCTGATTTGGGTAGAAGAGAGGTGTTGCTGAGTGCAGTCAGTTGGAGGGAGCCCATGTCTTGTGAGGCGAGCGGCTTTATTGCAAGAATAATTGATGTGTGGTGAATCTTCATCAGATCTCTGATTCGGCCTGTTCTGCAGGCCTGACAGAGACGCACTGCAAGATCAAAACATTAAATTACAAATTGGATACAGCGGAATGATTTAATGAGCTTCCCCCTTTAGCATCACAGGGCTCAACCACGTAAGAAAGGCTGAATTTTGCACACAAAACTGGCACGACCTGGTGCACAATGGCTATTTACGGAATCTTGTAAGTAATCGTAAGATTAAAAAAGAACTGCTAACATTTGCTTTTCAGTTCCTTGGAATATTATCCAATTCAGTTGTATGGCGTTTTTTTGTCTCAAGAAACACCAGCCTTGTGTTCATGCCCATGTTGCGTCATATACCCAGTGCACTCTACAGCACCATTTGGCACATTTGCATAGTCTGCATATTTATTTTAATTATAATATCCCATGCAATATATAACACGGCATTCTGAACATTATGCTTTGCATCCTTTGTTGAATTCTTGTGTGATTCATTCAGTCTGATATTTTACATGACCAACAAGCACTTCTATAATAAAAACACTGGTTACTGTAGGTTTTAGCACTTTGCGTTTAACAGCTCTGCATAGGATTCAGGTTATTTTTACTGCTGGTATTGTGTGCGTCTGATGTTTTTTTTTCTCAGGATAACGTCACACTTTGACAGTAAAAGCTTCGACTTCATGGTCCTCACTTTTGCCCAGAGTATTTCCATGAAATTGCAATGGTGTTATTCATGAATCAGAATGTATTTGAGTATACTCCTATTTACTCCTGAAATGTCCTTATTTGTTCCCAAAATGGTGCTTGTAGGGTTTCAGTGCTTTCTGGTGCCAAATTCATGAATATGAGAAAGTGTTTGGGGCAGGAGAGCGAGATGAAGCTTGGGCCATCGTGGCTTTTCAATTAATGAAATTGAGAAAGAATTGATTAGCTGAAAATATATGGCTGCTGTAAATGAGCAGTTTGCCTAAAAGCTTTCTTGCTGATGAAATGTCACGTCTCCGGAATGTGTGACCCAGATTCCAGAACCTGCTGTGGTCGCGGAAGTCTTTCGTGGAGAGCATGAAGTCCTACGGGTCTAGCTACGTCTACATGCCGGCCTTCTCGATGAAGCCGGGCACGGACCCCTCGCTGCGGGCCTACCACGCCCTCGCCGACAGCAGCTCCAACCTGACGGTGCTCTTCGCCAACCCAGACTTCTTGAAGAGCGTGGGCAAGTTCTGGAAGGGGCGCGGCGTGCGTGCCAAGCGCCTCTCCACGGGCCTCTTCTTGGTCAGCTTGGCGCTGGGGCTGTGCGAGGAAGTCACCATCTACGGCTTCTGGCCCTTTTCTTTGGGCCTGAGCGACGACTTCGTCAGCCACCACTACTACGACAACGTCCTGCCTTTCACTGGCTTCCATGCCATGCCTGAGGAATTCCTGCAGCTGTGGCATCTGCACAAGAGCGGCACGCTGCGAATGCATGTGGGCGACTGCTCCAGCGGGGGCGGCGGAACACAGGTCACGCCAGAGAGAGGAAGAGAGTGAGCAGGACCCCCCCCCCCCCCCGTTACAGCCCAACAGCTGGAAGTGACCATGACAAATCTGCATGGTGTGCCTGCCGTCTCTCTCTCTCTCTCTCTCTATTTCATTTTGCAGGCTTGGGTTGTGTTTCACCATTAATGCAATAACAGGCAGGCATGACCGCCGCCACCAACCCCTGGGTGAAGCCAGAGGGAACAGCAGACTTTCAAAACAGCCAAAAACCAGTAGTAATAGATAAACAATGGAGAATTAAAGATTACATCCAGGGCAATGCTTCACACTGAGGAGTCTCCTCTTCGATGACTGAAGTCAGTCGATCTAGAAGACGGGAGGCAAGAAAAATGTATTTGCTACAGAAAATGCTGCGGTGAATATTTTCGGTTACATTATGGCCATTTTTAGCAAGTATTTAACTTTATTTAAGTACAAGACCCCTAAGGTTTCAAGTTGAAGATAAATTGCTGTTATATTTAGATTTGCTGCAGTATTTTTATTTAACTTATAAGGGACCAGGTTGCCATGTACACAAAGAATTCACGAAGAAAAAAAAAAAAACTTAAGAAGTGTTGTTAATTAGCTATGGGCTAACCACCCAAGCCACCGACTTCCCGGCTCATGAAGGAGGACATCTGTACTTCACTGGGGGGTTTTGTGAGGTATAGGTGGAGACCTTACCGAGATTGTGCCAAACAACGTGAGCGGGGAAGGCGTGACGACACGTCTGTCCACCTGCCGTGCTCAGGTGCAGGTCACCTGTCCACGCAACATGAACGCACGACAGCCGTGCACAATGCCTACTTGGAGTCAGTATGTGTGTCTGTACGGTGCTTTTTATGTCATTTTATGTGTTACTGTACGAGCATCACAGTATGTTCAGCGTAATTTTACCCCTTGTGTTTTGTGTGGTTGGGCCATTTGGTAACAGGAAGGTGATGTTTTGCAAGTGACGTAACATGTTCAGAAAACCATTTAACGATAATGAACAAGTAATTTTCCATGACAAACCAAGTCATCACAGTAATCGTTAAATAAGCTAAATGAACCATAAACACGCAGCCAAACCTGTAAGTGGAATCAAGCTTTTCTCCTGGTTTGGATACGGATGCTGTGGTATGTTAAATGCCCTTATCACTTGAAAGCCTTGTATAGTACAAAATACACAAAAACAATGTCTCTGTATTGAGAAAGAAATTTTCCACTGGGACTGTTTAATTCATGCTCTGTATCTAATTTAGGACCCTAGAGTCTGGTGTTTTACAATGCTGCCTTCTTTCTTCACTGGGTCCGTAAGCACTCACCACCACATCGGCCTCTCTCAGCGATAGGCCTCAGACGGCCTCTGCGTGTTCTGCTGTTAATGGCGGTGTGGAGGTGGACGTTCGTGCGTCACGGGTGCAAAGCCTCGTTCCTCCTTCTCGCTGGACACCACAGCAGCTCCAGGTTCCCCTCAAGGTGAATGGCGGGGGGGGGGGGGGGGTTGTCAGTTAGAGACATTTCATTATATCCTCTCACCTGTGTTTCTTTTCAAAAAAAAGGTTGAGTGCCTTTTCATTGTCAAGACGTAATACTTTATAGAGGCAGAATGTAATTTTATAGAGTTCCAGAAAGTTTATGTTGTTAAATCGATTGGATCTTATTTTTTTTTTCATTTACTGTTAACTGTTATTTCATACACTTGATTTCTGAGCCATATTCAGTAGAACCTACTCAAAAGCTACTGGTTTTACTGTTGTACTTCTTGGGGTGTTTTTTCTTTCTGGAATTCAGGAGACTCATCTTGTGCCACTTGTAGAGCACATTTTACCAAAAAGCCTAGCAGTATATTTTATGTCAAAGACAATGAGGTGTGAATAATGAAATAATTGCCCCTAAGTACTCAATCTGGTAAAATAATAAACCTTTTGTGAGTCGTCTTAATTGTGTCCGCCGCTTGGGTATGTCAATGTAGAGAATAGCGCTTCTGTCATGATGGTTTACAATGGGACGCTGTGAATGAGTGTCTCAGTCGCATGTCTGTGGTTGTAGTGAGCCAGTCAGCTTTCCATCACGATGGAGGGCACTGCTTGTCTACAAGAATCATGTTTAAATAAAAGAGAAAAATGTGTCAAAGTTTTCTGGATGCCAGTGGAATTGTCCAGAAAAGAAAATAAAAACAATGCATTTGTGATGTTAAAACTGGATTTGGGTACATTTTTTATGTCTTGTGAACTTATTTTTTTCAGAGTATTGTAGGCATATTGCTGTAGGCAGACGTAAACAATTACCATTATAATATTTGTGCTTTTGGGACACCGCTTGTGAACTTGTGAGAGTGTCTGAATCGCCATCTTTAATCTCCAGTTTTATTGTCCACACGGGGCCTTTTTTGGCCCACGTGGGGGCTTCAGACCCTTAGCCTGCGCTCTGTGATTTGCAGACAGCCCCTCCCTTGCCAAACACTCACTTGCCAGTCACAGACCCTGCTCTGATTCTGTTGCTGAAGGCTGCATTTGGGGTATTTTTCTGGCTTGGAGCTTGAAGCTCATGTAGAAGCTAGCTTGTTAGCAGTTCCTAACGTCGAATGAGAACGGACATGGACATCCCATGAGGCACAGGGCAGGGTCCATTTCACTGCTGCTGCTTGCATCCCGGAAGACTTTCTTCTTTAATATCGAAACAGTGGGCTATTGTCAACTACCAGCTACATCTGGAAACAAAACACAGACTCGATTTATTTGGTGCAGATTAAAATTGTACCCAGTTTAGTGTCACGCTGGCACTGTTAATTGAGTGGCCTTGAGGCATAGGGAGTCCTGTCATTCTGAACTTTCTTGAGGCCTAGTTGTAGATGTTGTACGGCAAACTAGAGTGGCACCCTGATGTTTGCAGGCACATCAGTCAGGTGCGTGCGTGCGTTTGCTAGTTCATGTTCTCGTTTCTGTGTCAGCCGTGCTGTCTGTCTCGCCAGCTTGGAGGATTCTTCATCGAGTAAGAATAATTAAGCATATTTAAAAAGCAACAGGAGACAAATTAACCTCGATTTGCTTCTTTTAACAGACTTTAATGACTTTGTCTGTGAAACAGATCCCAGTCATTGGTTTGATCTCCATCCCAGTGTCTTTTTATAATTATCAAACTTTTTTCTAGCCCTGATCCATATTTTTAACAGAAAGGGGCAGTCAGTGGGGGGGCATGGTGGTGCAGTGGTTAGCACTGTTACCTCACACCTCTGGGGTCAGGGTTTGAGTCTGTGCCATGGCTCTACATGTGTGGAGTTTGCATGTTCTCCCTTTGTTGTCGTGGGGTTTCCTCTGGGTACCCCAGTTCCCCCACCCACCCCCCACAGTCCAAAAACATGCTGAGATTAATCGGAGTTACCAAATTGCCCATAGGTGTGCATGTGAGTGACTGGTGTGTTAGTGTGCCCTGTGATAGGTTGGTGCCCCATCCTGGGTTGTTCCTTGTCTTGTTCCCCTGGCTGCCAGATTAAGCTCCGGACCCCCTGTAACCTTTAATAGGACAAGTGGTTTCAGAAAATGGATGGGGAACCAGCATGACAAGAGTGAAACTGATGGGGGGGAGGGCTATATAAGGCAAACACGACAAAAAGTGTGAAAGTGAAATGCTTGACAAATGAATATTGTTTTTGCTTTTAGAAAAAAAAAAATTGTTCTGGGGGGGTTTACCAGAGTTTTGGAAGAACATCGTTTGCTTCCCATTCAAATGCAAGAGTGCCTGGTAGTTTAATTTTATTAGGCTAGGGGGTCTTTAGCAGATTGCCTCCTGAGGATTGTTGTCCGACCAACAGTGGTAACACTTCTACCTGGCATAGCAGCCAGCACCTGTCACCTGCAAGCCGCATTGCAGACCTCCCATGCATGACATGGCACCTAGCAGTTCTGCTGCATGCCATATGGATCAGCAGCTGTGCAGCGCCAATGTTATTTTCCGACTTGGTAAATTCACAAACCCCCAAATTTTGTCGGTGGTGTCCTTCGTAAGTCATCTTGGGAGCCACACATGCTCACATGGCCTTCCTTGGGGTAGAGATTGTACATTAAAGAAGGGCGAAAAAAATATCCCAGTAAGATAAACCCAGACGTTAAAAGGCATTTGCAAAAGCAGTGAGGAACTATGGCACAAAGAGGAATTTGTGCATGAAATCATTTCACGAGCACCCAAGCTGTTTTGTGACCCCAGAACACCACCGTCTCCTTGACGAGCTAGACACAGTCAGCTTCTCCGATCCTGGGAAACGGCCGATCACTCAGCCAGCAGTAGCCGCTCCATGGTGCTTCATCTCTGGTGGCATTATCTCCAGTGTGCTATAGCTGCGACCTCGAGCTTCCATTTCAACTGATCCACTGAGCAATCTCTTTAGAATCGGAGCACTCCACTGGAATGCTTGGAAAAACCAAGCTGTGGAAGATGTGTTCTTTAACCCCACATCTGAAGGTGGATTTCAGGAACACGTTGAGATCTGACACACTAATCACACTCGCTGTTGCGAGGCGACATGCTGTTAAGATTTCCGAACTGGCTTCCCAGTGTGTGGATCCCCTGCTGTCACGCAGCCTTGGTGACACTACGATCACAAGAAGTTTGGATGGGGGCTGTTTTTCTGCAAGGGGGGGCTTATAGAACAGACAGGAAATTAACTCCAGTTCAAAAGAAATTCAAACCGTTTTAAAGAAAAGCCAGAGATTCACAGCATCTCTGCAGTAAAACATGCCCTTAATGTGCAACTTTTGCACATGCTGAGAAAATAGGTGACATTGATCTGCAGCTCACTTCCTTAACACTGGAGTTAGTGAAATGTCACATTGCCCACACAGATTATGAATGCTAATCTAGGCACTAAGAGCTATGGTAATATTACACAGGATCACAGAAATGACAGAAAATCACAGAAAATGCAGCTCGTGTTCAATGTATCTCTTTATCCATGGATCACCCAGCCATAAATATGTCAGTACACACAAAACACGGGGCTGAATCACTGCCTTATATTTCCCTCCAAATTATTAATCCTGATTAAAACACTGTACCACCTTGGACAACAGATATTAACACTTTTCCTGCAGTTTCACTGGTAATAATTTCATAATCAAATGTTAAAATAATTAAATAATATGATACAACTTAAACAAGGTCTATATAAAAAAGACACAAACCCATCACAGTGCCCTGTGATGGGTTGGCGCCCCATCCTGGGCTGTTCCCTGCCTTGTGCCTGTAGCCTCTGGGATAAGCTCTGGACCACCTGTGACCCTGAACAGGATAAGCAGTTACTGAAAATGGATGGATGGATGGACACTTAATACAAAAACATACTAACAAAAAATTCTGATACTGATACCTGCTGATAATGAGAATTACAGCCCTTATATCTGTTGGTTCAATTTATTACACAAACATAGTACTGGAATGTAACCTCAGTAAATGATTCTTTTTTTTTAATGACCATAACAAGAAGATAAATGTCAAGAGTTAAATATAATATGGTGCCAAGGAATGAAACGAATAAATGCATCCCTTCCCAGTGCAGTCCATCAAGGTCGCTGGGATCCGGACGTTCCTTAGTGGTAGCACTGGGACCAGTCGTCACATTGCTCTACCACTGAGAAAAAGTGTCCTTTAGTTGTATCACTGTTTCAAGACGTCCTTAGCTGGCACCATTTCTGAGAGGGGTGTTAGATCACAAACCACTAATACAGCTCATACTGGTCTCCAGAGACTTCCTTATTGTACTCTCCATTTGAGTTGCCATTTTATGTTCTGCTCATGCTGAACGTTCGTGAAACAAAAATGTGTAAAGCAGCAGGGAAACTCAGCCTGTTCATTTTCAATCACAACCAACCCATTTGCGATGGTCCGGTCCCCAAAGAATCAGGCCCTGTGATTTAAATACGATTTACAACAACAACAGATTGCTCAGTTTGATGGTCAGTCTCTGTTGGAGGTTCTCATACAGTCAAGTACTAAGAGACTCTCTCCCTGATCTCATCATGCATTCAAAATGCAATTCCACCAAAACCATAATGTGTTTTGATCTGATTATGTGGACATACAATTTTTAAAATTGAGAGTAAATGTCATCACATTTTTCTGTTTAGGCATATTTAAAGATTGTAACATTATCCATCTTCTACTGTAGGTGAGAAGAGGTTTAGAAGGTGTAACACAGCTTTGTGCTGTTTGGGGTAGGATCACAGTAAACCTGGCTACAGTCACATTGCAGCCTGGGGCCTTTCCCACACCAGCATAGCACCCTGAGCAGGCCAGTCCATCGAAGGGCACAATAATATGGGAAATTTAGAGACATCAGTTACACTGACTGCATGTCATTTTACTGGGCATTCCCCAGAGATCTATGATTTTCTTTGGAATTTGTACTTGTGTGTTTTTTTCTGCAAGTGCAAAGAGTGGCAGCTGCAGATTTGCTACTTGGATGCTGTGTAAACCCTGGTCTTTCTGATGGTGAAGCAGGTGAAGAGGCGATGAGGATGAGCACATGTGCAGGACCTGTGAGGTATGTGTGGCTGGCGTTTAATCACTGCCCTCTAAAACTACCACTGAGTGACATTCTGTGGCGCATTTCGGGCATCAAGCCCCTGATTTTGCCCTGGGTGACAATCAAACATCAGCCCTCACCATTATGGTCTTCAACTAGATGTTGAGCTTTTTTTGTAAATATTTATTGAACTATTTTATTGGATCTATTTTTGTCTCCGTATTCAGGGTGGTATATCCATTTGATCTACAGTATAATGATAATCCACCCCCCTCCCCCCACCGGACCAAGCCATTGTTTGCAACCAGCCACAGCCGGGCTTCATGCCTTATAAACAGGGGCCTGATGTAGTCACCGAACCCCCCCCCTCCCCCATCTAACCAGTGAATGTGGTCTTAATTAAAACACATTCAGTAAAATGGAGTGCACCCCCTCCCTTTCTTGCTACCATCACCCTCGAAGCAGAGAGGATCTGAGACGCAGAGATGAGATATGTTCTTAGGCTGCGTCCACACAGCAAGCGGCGAACCGCCAGGCGCTTGTGAAAGCTGATAGACGGGTGAACATTATGTCATGAAAGAGTGCTAGCCATAAAAATAATCGCGATTGTAAAATGTGTTTCGGCTTGAAACAAAATAAGTAACGTTATTTTACACTGAAAAAGGCACTTGCTCGCTTGCTG